GACCAAGAAGGGGACGCTTCAGATGATGAGTGCAAGCCGTCTATCTCCTAAGGTACATCTAGCCTGTCAGTCTCAGAAACTTCTTCCGCATTGAGAGTGTAGTTTCGGTCAGGCGAGCCAGAGGCATCCATAAGCTACCTCAAGTAACTTATGCTGAGAGTTGCACATTGGCCCACTATGACAACGATGTGAAGACAGGATCCCACTATGAAGCAGAAGGCACCGCTATGAATGTACACGATAGAACTTGACCAGCACATTCGAGAAGCATCCAGTGCCTCAAGCCCACCAAACCCCGCGCAGGTTTTGACCAGGACATGACAATATTTGAGAAATTGGCGGATGCACCGACACCGGATGGCAAGAGAAGCCTCAGAAGCCGAACCACCACACCACGATGGGTGGCTTCCCACGGTCTACGAGGAATCGGATGCTGATCTCGAGTCGCACGCCATGGAAGCGCGGCATGCAGAACTACAAGATGAAAAGGATCTGCTGGAGGCAACTCCTCCAGAATACTTTTTTTTTTTTTTTCACAATGCCCGCGCAGATGCTTCCAGACCAAAGTGTGCTGATCACTGTGACTGATGGACAGCGGGGGCGCCTGCCTAAGTGGGGGCGCGCACGCGACTCTGACACCGAGGAGACGCATCACGTCCCAATGTGTTCCATGGTCGAAGACTGCAGCTACGGACTGGACTCAAACGAACATGGACAGCATGTAGCACTCTGCTGCAAGGCGGAACTGTCAGAGGTAGTCCTGTCCGAGCAACAACACATGATATTAAATGCCGACCGTGCGGCCACCATGCGAGTGCATGTTACCGCCGCTGCAAAGCGAGCTGCGGTCGCCGCGGAAGACGACCTCCTCGCGAAGGATGACATCCAAGCGAATCCCGAGAAAGTATCGAAGGCCCTCTACACCAAATTCAAGACATGGTTTGACAACAGATGTTTCAAAATGCAAGACATATCCAAAGCGTCAAATGGAAGTTTTTGGAGGACGAGAAGGGCGAGATGGAACGTGCCATCAGATTACGCCTGGTTCTTCGAGGCTTCATGGACCTTGAAGCCTTCGACGCCTGGTGCTTCGTGGACCTTGAAGCCTTCCGGCGGTCAAGTCAGAGATTGCTCGCGAGCGCGGCAGCATGCAAGAAGCAATGGGCCATTGTTTCCGTCGACATCAACACGGCCTTCCTGAAGGGGTTGACCTACCAGGAACTTGCTGAAGCAACCGGTGACGAGGAACGCATGGTGCGTTTTATTTTGCCGCCTGGATCGGCCACGGTGCTTCGGACTCTCAGGGTTCGAACGCTACGACGAGTCCAAGCACTGCTTGCAGTGCCTTAAACCAGGCACTGGCACCAAAGACGCACCGCGAGCTCTCTCACTAAAGCTCAGAAGAACCACGTGAGGTTCTGGTCTCCGACCAACGTCGCACGACGAGGTGTTCGAGACGAACAGCAACTTGCTTACGGCCGAACATGTTGGTGATATCAATATGGCCAGCACTGAGGACACCAATGACAAGTGTGTGAAGTGTGTAGAAGACACCTTTGGCACGCGTAAGCTCAACGAGCACACATGCACCAAGTGCGCTGCGAGGTATGCCAAGGATGAGGACGGCAATGTTGTTTTGGACGAAGGCGAATACATCAAGCAGCTCCGTCCCATACAACATCGTGAACCTGCCGGCGCCGACGCTGACGCTTAGGCATCCAAGATGGTTGCAGACCTGTTCGCCGGCCTCAGGTGTGCGCTGGCGCATGCATCACCCAGGCGCGGTCGATGGTGCACGTTGTATTTCTACAACGTGCCCAAGAACCGACCACTATCCAAGTACGACGACCGAACGCGATTACCAGGAAGTTGCAGGCCTGCCCCAATAAGATCGTCTATCAGGCGATGACCCCTACGGGCGAGGTTGACCTGCGCAGCGACTCAGGTTGTCGACGCCTGAGTGGAGACGCCGATGACGACGTCAAAGGCTATGGTACTCGCGGGGCATACCTGCTACGGCGTGGAAACACGCCTTCTGGCAGGCCCTTCGGCCACTTGATCGATGCGCACTGCAAGTCTCGCCTCTTGCAGGTCCGCTCGAGTTATTCAGCAGAGGCACTTGCAGCAGCCCGTAATTTGGAGGACTGTTAGCCCACGATCGTGACTCTGCACGAGCTCCACGCAGGGCCGCTCACGCCCACTCAGTTGAAAGACATACTTGAGTTGGGTGGCCTGAGCAGCGAGGTCACTCTGATCATAGATGCTGAGTCTGTTGTTAAGCCATTGCCACGCAAAGACTTGAGAAGCCGATTGAGCGTGCCCTTTTAGGACACATCAGTTGAATACGACAGATGATGGAGCGTGGGACCGTGCAAAGTATTCGGTGGTGCGACACCCGCGATATGACCGCGGACGGTCACACCAAGAGAGGAGCATCGACAGAGAGATGCTCCTACAGGTCATGGGGGGTGCACAGGCTTCTAAACATGACTTAAAGAGTCATACTCCATATCGGGCCGGACAGACATATTGTTCCGTAGCCGCTCGAGGAGCATCTTTAAGTACAGAACGGTACAGGCAAGGCAATTGCGAGCGGGGCCACCTTCCCTACGGCCCCGCCCTTTGGCTGCCCTTTGTACATATTAGCTGCTGTGCATAGGGGCGGCGGACTCACGCTTCGTCTCCCTCCCCCCCCCCGACTTTAAAGCGAGCTGGGGGACATAAGGAGCAGAAGCGAGCGTGCGCCCGCGGCCGCGTCGGCTCAAGCGGCCGGCCGCCCAGATATGATTGTTTTCATTGTGAGGCATACGATTAGCCATCGAAACCAAAAGGACCTTACTGCTGAAGTTGGTACGCCCTCCACTACTGGGACTATCGCTACTACGGTACAACAGAGCTGGGGCTGGGCTTCGCTGAAGGCGAAGCTGCTGGTTGGGCCTCCCAACCCCTTCCAAACTTGGGGGCCATCTTGAAAGCAACTTGGGCCGTCTTGGGCCATCTTGAGCCGTTGTGGTGTCGTCTCGGCTGTCTTGGAAGCCTTATTGGAGGCCATTTTGGCCGCTTGGAGGCCGAAGCGCGCCGGTGGGGCATTTTTTGGGGGGGCGGTCGACGCGATCCCGTGCGAACCGGGGAGGGGGGTCTGCGCTTGATTTTTTGTTTTTTTCGGAAAAAAAGGGGGACCACCGGAGCATTTTAACACGCCATATCCGTGCAAGCACCGTGGCAGATCTATATATCGTGTTATTCGTTTATGTATATTTGTCTCTCTCTCTCTTTCTCTCTCCCTGTTTTTCTCTCCATCTCTCTCTCTCTCTCTCTGTCTCGTTTTCTCTCTCTCTCTCTCTCGCGCTATCTCTCTCTATGTATATATATACATATATATATATATATATATGTTTATTCCTCTGTTTGTTTCCCTCTCTCTCCCTCTTTGTTTCTCTCGCTCTCTCTCTCTCTCGCTCTGTCGCTCTCTTATTATCCCTCTCTCTTTCTCTCTCTCTCCCCTTTCAGTAACATTACATAACTTTACGCATGTATACGTGAACGCGCTCACCTAATTCTCTTCCAGTTCCACCTCAGCTCCTGCCATTTGTTCTACCCTTCTGTCTCCACGCAGTGGGAACGGAGGAGTAAGAGAAGGATTTCGCTCGAACGAGTCCGCGGCCTCTGTCCAGTCCGACCCTCCCTTCCATAGCATCACAATCTGGCTCAAGGTGTTTTGGGACTGGCGCGATCCTACCTGGCGACCAGAAGGCACTCGCGCGCGGCCCACCGACGATTTGGCACGCGAGGTCCAGGGAGCCCGCGAGGATCTCGGGGCACAAAGGAACACGTCCAGGGCGCTCTGATTGATCGAAAGCCCCCCCTTTCAGCCGCCGAAAGCCAACTCGGGGGAAGTTAGCTGACCACCTCACTGATCCTGGCAAGGCCGATCCTGGGCCAAGGCCCAGTGCATATGGCTCTACGGCCTGGCCAGGGTCGGTGAGGTGGTCAGTTGACGTCCCCCGACCAGTTCGGAAATCCAGCACCCCGTTTGTTTTCTTACCGCGACAGACTGGGGTCCAGGCTGGTTTTGCCAAGCTCTGCATGGCCTCTGGGTGTGTAGGCCCCGCTTCGAGCGATGAGGGATGTGACCCGGGTTTCGTTCGCCGTGACTTTGGGAGATCCACGCAGGCAGACAGTAAGTACCCTTTCCTCCCCAGCATCCCCCTCCTCCCCCTCCTCCTCTTCTCCCACCCACGCCTCTCCTGCTGTGCGGCCACCTTGCTGCGCATGCCCAGGCACCCTCGCGGAATGGCCAGCACGGCACGTTGTGAATTGCTTCGTTTGATCCGCCTCTTCCATTGCCTTCCCTCCATAACCTTTCCTCTCCTCCCTCCCCTCTTCTCCCCTTGGATCCATCCCCCCCTTCTCCTGCCCCCATCCAGCCGCCCAGAGTCCTCGACTCTTTTGCGGATGCCGCAACGGCACTCAGTGGAGCTGACGTACGGTCGGACCGAGGTATACGATCCAGTTTGTTGAATGTGTTTGCTGAATGTGTTTGGTGCATCTTGAGGGATGGTACCCTCGAGTGCTCGTCAGTTTGGCCGGCGCAGGGCCTCGTGTTCTTGAAGGATGTCATTCTGTCCCAGGTCCGGCCATAGACGAGAGCTGGTCCGACCCACCCCCCCGGCCTCCCGCCCCCCGTCTGCCCTCTCCTGCCCTCCCCGCCGTTCCGCTCCGCAGGGCTCGACCTAGACGGTGTTTGGGCGATTTTGTGGGCCGGTTCCTTTTTGACTTCGTTCTGCAACAAAGGCGGATTGAAGACACAACGAGGGAAAACGACAGCAAAACGAAAAAGAAAAGCACAGTGTAGGTCGATCTGTGCCTTCTCCTGCCCTTATCTCCTCCGTTCCGCTCCGCCTCCAGATTTGCCGTCGGCCTGGGAACAAAACATGCTTGGCTGTTATTTTCGCACACGCTGTCTGCGATATTTACCTGCAGGCGCGCTGACGCGCTCCATGGAGGCGGTGCTGCAGCGCAGCAGGCAGCGCGGCCTCAATGCCAGCGCGCCAGGCAGCACCGACCAAGGCGGGCCGCATCCGACTCCTCACTCTCGAGTAGAACGATCCCATCAAACATCCAAAAACTGACTCTCGTTCTTATTGTTTGAGGTTGAATGGGGTAGGCTGGTGGTAGTGGGTCTAAGATTTGTTCATCCTGCGCAAGAGCGGTCTTGTCACATGGATTGTTCCGTGACCCTCTGGCTCGAACACGTTCAGCACAGCAAGGGCACAGCGGAGATCGTGCGAAGTCCCCGCCGAGCTCGCACAAGTCATTGTCCTATTCGGTATAGCGTTTGCAGCGGACACATCGTCACATCATGATCGTTTTCATCATCAGCATCAGCATCATCATCATCATCGTCATCATCATCGTCATCATCATCAGCATCATTATCAACAACACCAGCACCAGCACCAACACCACCACCAACACCAACACCACCAACATCAACACCAACACCCTCGTCACCACCATCATCAGCATCATCAGCATCACCATCATCATCATCAGCATCATCAACAACATCATCAGCAGCCGCATCATCACCATCGTCATCGTCATCGTCATCTTCATCGTCATCCTAATCGTTATCATCAGCAGCAGCAGAAGCAGCAGCATCATCATCATCGCCACTACCAGGCACGTGCAAGCTCCAGTTTGGGCCCGTGCGAGCATGGTCCGTCCCCGAGCCTGGCCCGAGGCCGGCAGCAGCCAAGAGCTGGGCCCGGATTGAGTTCGTGGAGGTGTGGTGGTGAAGGGGCGCGCTCCCTAGATTGCACCCTCTACGCTGTCATGTCTTTGGTTCTTGAGGAAAAAAGTATCAGGATCTACCCCCCCGCCCATCCCGGATTTAACCGCCCCCGTTGATGAAGGGCGCGTTCCTTCTCCTCATCCCTCTCCTGACGCCCCTGCTCCATCCTCTTCCCGCAGGCCCCTCCTCCCGTTTGGTGAGGTTGGTGAGGTTTCTCGGGTGGAACGAGAACGGTCGTTCAGAGCTGCCCCAATACAGATTGCCCCCTCTACGCTGTTATTTCTTCGATTTAAAAAAGTAGTGTAATCTACCCCCCCGCCCTCCCCGGATTTAACCGCCCCCGCTTTCGTATTGCAATTTACATATGGTTATGCCCCAGCGCCCATCCGATATATGAACTCACATCATCACAGCCAATTGGTAACGGTCCCCCCCCTCATCCTTTGCGAATGCGCGCGCACTCGTGTATCAAAAAAACCTAAGTTGGCAATATCTCCTTGCAAAAAGCAGGACGAAGTGCACACGTGCGCGTCGTCGCGCGCGCATGCCGTGATCCGTCAAAAACCTTTGGTTCCGTAAGGATCTCAAAATCGAGAGTCCCGATAACATTTTTCGCAACAATGATTTTCAAACCAAAGTTTGCGTTCGATCTTCTTACAAATTATTGAGAACACCATACGTACTTCAACATGTTCATAAACTACTACCATGGAGGCCTCTCGCGAAATAGTTCGAACACCCTTGCGCGCGTGCTGTCGCAATAATCCCTTGCAATCAATGGGACGAAGTGCACACGCGCGCGTCGTCGCGCGCGCATGCCGAAATCCTTCAAAGATCGTTGGTTTCGTAAGGACCTCAAACGCGAGTGCTTCGAAAACACATAAAACACATGAGCATCAGTCTTCAAAACATGCGCTCGCGATCTTGCGAGTTTTCAGGAAGCCATTTCATTGAATTCTACCAAAAGGGCCTTCCGCGCCGCATGTCGACGTCATTCGAGCACCCTTGCGCGCGTGCTGGCGAGCACGATCCGTGTCAAATAATACCATGCGGGCCACTCTCGCGCGTCGACCGCGCGCGCATGTCGAACTCCTTCCAAAACCTTCATCACCAACGCAAAGGTGCCGTCAATGTCGCCAGCGTGATCAATATCGGCGCCGTCATTGGCCGTGCCGTCGCCGTTGTGATCATCGTCACCAGCGTCGTTGTCTACCGTTGTCGTCGTTGGCCGCAGCTGGGACAAAGATCGGAGTATGGCGTGGTGGCCGAACTATACGCGCTCAGCCCATCCCTACCACGCAACAGTGCAACCCTATGCGTGGAGGTTTGCGCGCTGCTTGGTGACGGCTGGCGGAGGAAGTGCAGCAGCATGTTTGCCAGCTGTTGACAAGCCTGTGGTGTTGCAACACTCTCAGGTTGTATCCGTGGTGTTGCACTATTGCATGTGCACTTTCTTAGGCGTTCTGGCACCTCTGTCGTACTGCAGCGGGTGGCTAGGGCTGTGCTTGTCTGTTTGTTTTGTCAAGCACCAGGTACCTCGACGCGACGGCGGATAGGCATCATGAGCCGATTCATGCAATAATTGGTAAGGCGCGTTGTTTTGGTTGCGAGGGGTCAGAAAATCTGTCATTCTGACAATGACGAGGGCGGAGACGAGGTGGCGGACCAGGACGGAGGACGAGGGGCACGAGGAGGGCCACGAGAAGATCGGTGAGAAAGGAGGATTGTGATGATGAGCAGGAGGAGCACGCGGGAGACGACGACAGCGAGGGAGAGACGGCGATGATGAGAGGAGGGCCACGACGACGAGGAGGACGACGGCTCACAGAATCGAGAGGGCGACGACTGCGAGGAGGACAGACGAGGACGACGAGGGGATGCCGCCAGGCCGAGGCGTCGGCCGCGAGCACGGCGCGGAGCAGCTCAAGAGCGCCCTGGCGGCGTGCGAGTTTCGGTTGAGGCAGTCGCTACACCCTTCCTCCTTGTAGTTGTCCCTTCTCTATCGCCTTGTTCTGCCACGTCTCTCTCTCTCTCTCTTTCTCTGTCTCTCCTTCTCTCGTTCTCTCTCTCTCTCTCTCTATCGCTCTCCCTTCCCACCGTCCGTGTTTTAAGACATCGTTATCGCTCCATCTCTCTCTCTCTGTTTGTTTTCTCTCTCTCTCTCTCTCTCTTTCCCTCTCTCTTTCTCTTTATATCTAGTCTCCTTCTGCCCATGCCGCCACCGAGCCTGGATTGTGGTTTAGAGGCCTCGTGGATGTTCGTTTGCATATCTTGGGAGGCCTCTCGGGGCATCTGGGAGGCAGTTTTGAGGCCTCTTGGGGGCCGTTTGGGGGCCTCTTGAGGCCTTTGTTTGGTCCTCTTCGGGGCCTCGTGGGGCCTCTAGGGGGGCCGCTTGGGCTCTTCTCTTGGGGGCATCTCGGGGCCTCCTGGAGGCATCTTGGAGCGGAAAGCTCGAATTGTCTGTTCCTGTTCCCCCTTTTGGGCCCCTCCCGGGGCCGCCTTGAGGCCTTCTTTCTCGATCTCGGGCGCGTCTTGGGCAGTTTTTGGGCCCTCGTGGGCCGTCCTGTGGCCCTCGTAGGGTCCTCCTGGGTGGGGCTGGGGCCATCCTGGAGCGTCAGAAGCCCGAACACGCGAGAACGCGACAAACGTAGAACAACCTGAGGAAAATCAATGATTGTTGTTTCGTTGGGCCTTCCTGGGGGTCCTCTTGGAGCGCTCTTGGAGCTTCATTGGGACCTCTGGGGCCGTCTTGGGGCCATCGTGTGCGTCTTGGAGCGCTCGTGGGCTGTGTTGGAGGTCTCTTAGGCGCTTTTTGGGCAACTCTGTGCCAGTCTTGGGGCCCCCTGGCCCCTGGGAACAGCACGCGAGGCAGCCCAGGAGCGCGCGGGAGCGCCCAGGAAATTTGAGAATGGTGGTGTCCCAGTCTTTAGAATATTAGGATCCCAGGGTCCCGAGTACAGAGAACAGAGGACACAAAAGAGCTTGGGGGTAACACCACGTCTTGTCTCGAGGTACGGCGGCAGGCACACACACACACACACGTATCGATACACACATGTAAATACATATGCACACACACATACATACATACATACATACATACATACATACATACATACAGACAGACAGACAGACAGACAGACAGACAGGCAGGCAGACAGACAGACAGACAGACAGACAGACAGACAGACAGACAGACAGACAGACAGACAGACAGACAGACAGACAGACAGACATACAGACAGCCAGACAGACAGACAGACAGGCAGACAGACAGACAGACAGACATACATGCATACATACATACATACCGCATAGACCACCCTTCGGGTGATAAGGAGGCGAGGGGGGGGACCACCGTCGCACTCGATCGATCTCACTATCGATCTCGCTATCGATCTCATTATCGATCTCATTCGATCAATCTCACAATCGATCTGGCTATCGATTTCACACTTGATCTCACTAACGATCTCACTATCGATATCACAATCGATCTCACAATAGATCTCACAATCGATCTGGCTATCGATCTCACGATCGATCTCACATTCGGTCTCACGATCGATCTCACTACCGATATCACTATCGATCTCATTCGATCGATCTCACAATCGATCTCGCAATCGATCTCACATTCGGTCTCACTATCGATCTCACTATCGATATCACAATCGATCTCACAATCGATCTGACTATCGATCTCACTATCGAACTCACTCTCGAAGTCATGATCGACCTCTCGTTCGATCTCACTATCGATCTCACTATCGATATCACAATCAATATCACAATCGATCTCACATTCGGTCTCACTAACGATCTCACTATCGAACTCACTATCGATCTCACTATCGATCTCACATTGGGTCTCACTATCGACCTCACTAACGATATCACAATCGATCTCACATTCGGACTCACTATCGATCTCACTACCGAACTCACCATCATCACCACCATCAGCATCACCATCATCATCATCGTTGTCAAGATCATCATCATCATCGTCATCATCATCATCATCGTCACCGACGGGACACCGACGGGACACCGGCGGGACACCGCGGGGCCCCGGCCGCCCAGAAGGGAGACATTTGGTCCGGACGCGCCTCAGCCACACGGGACACCAGCGGGACACCGGCGGGACACCGCGGGCCCCCGGCCGCCCGGAAGGGAGACATTTGGTCCGGCCGCGCCTCAGCCACAGGAGACTTTCTTCTCGCCCGCCCACGCAGCTTCGCCTCGCCCGCACGCACGGCACGCACGAACACGAAACCGAAATCGATTTCCCGGTAGGGGGGCTCTGCGTTCCACTTCGATCTCACCCCCTCACTTCCGACATGCATGAATACGTGCATGCATGCATGCATGCCTACATACGTACGTACGTATGTACGTACATACAAGCATGCACACGTACATACATGCATGCATGCATGTCTGCATGCATACATGCAAACACACATGCACACACATACATACATGCATACACATACAAACATGCATGCAAACATACATACAGATGCGTGGATGTATGACCGTATGAATGTTTGTATGCATAATAATATTTTTTTCATAGAGGGTGCCGACGGAACCAGATATGCATGTATGAAATGGACATTGTATAGTGTATTGAATAATACATATATGATATGTGTATATGTCTATGTATCTCTATAGGTCTGCATAGCTATCTGCAGTTACGCATGTATAGAAACACGTCAAACACCAAAGGGAAATCAACGCTGTGGGCATCTTGTGGCCCTCTTGACAGGCCTCGTGGAGGCCTCTCAGGGCGTCTTGGAGGCCTCTCGGGCCGTCTGGGGGCCATCTTGAGCGTCTTGGAGCGATTGTTCGGCGACCCGGCGCCCTCTTGGACCGTCTTCGGTGCCCGTTGGGGTCCTCGTGGGTCCGAGAAAGTCATGCGACAAGCCGTGGGAAGCCCCCGACTAGCCGCGACAAGCCCCGAGAGGTCTGGCAATTTTGGGTCTGGGCCTTTTCAAGAACCCGCACAACCGAGGACTGAGTCTCCGGGGATTGGGCAAAGGACCTGAGGACACTCCCACTCTGTGCCCAGCGGCACGGTGGCGGATAAAAAGCGGCGCAGGCCACACGGGGCCCAAATCCAGATGTTCCTAACTTCCATTGGGGGGACGGGGGCCCCAGGGACCCGCCCCAAACACCCCGAGTTGGCCCAAGTTGACCTCCAGGCGGCTCTCGAGGCAGCCGAGAGCCGAACATGCCCCCCAGACGGCCCAGACAGCTCAAGATGGCCCAAGACGGGCCCGAGGTGCCCCCTCCGTAGCCATTTTGGCTCAAGACATTTTGGCTCAAGGGCCCCTGTCAGCTCTCCATGGGAGCAATGAAGTTATCCCCCGCGTTAGTGTTTTTGGGCTATGTGCAGATTGATCGATGGGCAATGGGTGAATCAAGGTCTAACTCAACGGAAAGGGGTGCAAGATTGTGGCTTCATGTGGGCCCCCACAAAATTGCTTCGACAACAATTTAGGAACACTTTGAAGCTTGGCAGACCTCTCTAGCAAGTGACGGCTGAACGTTGGAAATGCTTGCGCAGTTCGGACACTGTAGACGCGAACGAAAGTGTTATCAGTCCCCGTCCAAGTGCAAGGACAAAAGAGAAACAATGTGTTCAGATTGGCTGCACTCTCTTGACCAGCTCAAAGGAACTTCAAACAAGGTAATGATGTTTAGTGAGAATTTCGACCAGGTCAATGACACCAGCGTCGCACAGCTCGCGTTTGACTTAAGTCACATCAGTACCACTATCGTGATGGTTTACCGACCATCTTACGATTGGATCGCAAGCTGGTATCGGCAGCTCAAGGCTCGCGGGCGGGTTGAATTGGCCTTCGCAGATTGGCTAAGCGTTTCAAATATGGAATACTATGCCCACAACTACTCGTTCACGACTTCTCTACATAGTCGCTACGCCGTTCATTTTTCTGATGTGAAGGTGCACGTGATGGGCCCCGATATGATGACCGATATTGTCTGCGATAACTTCAATGCTACGAACACGTGCGCGATGTGTAGGAAGGCCACAGTGATGAAGCTAAACGTCAGAGCATAATCTTCGCCAGGTGAATGCCTCAGTTCTCTGCAGCTGCAAACGCTGAGAACTATATCCATTGAGTTGCACCGGGCGGCGTACGGTATCTTGGCATCTTCAAGTTTTCCCGCATCGGATGACGATGCCAAAGCCAGGATTTGTTTCGGCAATCCCCTTGAGTAGATTACGGTGCATCTGCGACCCACCAGAGGAATTGTTAATTCGTTTGTCTGTGAAACATGTGTATGAGAAATTCTTTACGCTTCGCGTATCCCCACCAGCCCATCTCACAGCAGCAGCTCTCGCGAAGCATGTCGACAGTTGTGTTTTTCAGGCGTGTGTCCGCTGGGCTCCGTATATCTCCCCTGTCCCTCCTTCCTCCCGCCCCCTTGTCAATCCTCCTTGTGGGGGGAGCGGGAGAAGGACGTGGCGGAGGAGGAGGGAGAGAAAACGCTCCTCGTGATTTGAGTCGTTTGGGGTTTCTCGTCCTGGTGTGAGTCGTTCGGGCCCTTCTTCCTGGTGTGAGTCGTTCGGGCTCTTCGTGGTGTGAGTCGTTCGGGCTCTTCGTCCTGGTGTGAGTCGTTCGGGCTTCTCGTGGTGTGAGTTGTTCGGGCCCCTCATCCTGGTGTGAGTCGTTCGGGCCCCTCCTCCTGGTGTGACTCGTTCGGGCTCCTCGTGGTGTGAGTCGTTCGGGGCCCGCGTCGTGGTGTGAGTCGTTCGGGCTCCTCGTGGTGTGAGTCGTTCGGGCGCCTCGTCCTGGTGTGAGTCGTTCGGGCCCCTCCTTGTGGTGTGAGTCGTTCGGGCTCTTCGTGGTGTGAGTCGTTCGGGCCCCTCGTCCTGGTGTGAGTCGTTCGGGCTCCTCGTGGGGCCTCTTGGAGCCTCTTGGGGCCTCTTGGGGGCCTCTTGGGGGCCTCTTGGGACCTCTTGGGGGCCTCGTGGGGCCCTTGGGGGCCTCTTGGGGGCCTCTTGGGGGCCTCTTGGGGCCTCTTGGGGGCCTCTTCCGTAGCCGTTTTGGCTCAAGCTGGTTCCTTCCTTCTCCGTCCGTCGCGGGGCATGGTGGCTGCGCGGGCTGGCAGGCGAGCTGAAGGGGATGGCTGCGGGGGGCCGCCCGTCGCGAGGCGATGGCGGCCTGCGGCGAGGCGGGTGGCCGAGGCGGCGACGCTGGGGCCCGCCGCCGCACGCCGCGCGGCGCGGGCGCGAGCTCGCGCGGCCTGTGAGGCGGCCCTTCTTCGGGCGGCCGTGGGCGCAGGCAGTGCCCCAGGGTCGTGGCGCGATCGGGAGATTGCCTCCCGGCCGGCGCTGCGCTACCGGGCGGAGGGGCGCCGGGTGCCTGGCGCGGCCAGGCGGAGGCGCAACGCTGCTCAGCACGCAGGGCGGGTACCAGCTGGCGGCTTCGTGACGGCATCCGAGGCGGAGCTGGCGTGGGCTGCTGGCGGGCCGAGGCTCGACGCGCAGGGAGCCCAGTGCAAGCGGGGCGCAGGGGGCGAGCAGGGGCAGCGGGCTTCGGCGCAGCTCAGCGTGGGCTGGGAGGCAATGCTGGAGCCCGAAGCGCTCAGCGGGAAGGTGATCCACGTGGCCGAGTTAGAGGCCAGGCTGCTCCGCCTGGCTGATGCGCGTGCCGCCGCGGAGGTCGCCGAGCGGAGCCTGACGGTGGAGCTCGGGGGCAGGCCCTGCGACGTGGAGCAGGAGACGCTTCCCTCCTTCTACCCCTCGGCGACGGAGAAGGTGCAGGAGGACGGGGAGGAGACTGAGCAGGTCCAGATGGTGTCGAAGGACGTCGTTGACGTGGGTTCGGTGAGGAGCGCGGGGGAAGGCGGCTCGGCTTGGCTAGCGCCAGGTACTTGGCAGGCGGTGGACCCCGAGGCGGAGGCCAAGGTCTTCGCGGAGGGCATCGCGGCTGGGTGGCGCCTCGCTGGGCTGGAGAAGGGCGCGCCGTGGGACCTCGTGCGAGGCGGGCGGCTGTTCGAGTGGGACGGCCACCAGCAGCACAAGAAGCAGGCTGTGGCGAAGCGCTGGGCTGCACGGTGGAGGCGGCGAGCGGAGTCCAGCCAGGGCGCGGGCCTGATGCAAAAGGTGCGCGCACGTGCAGATCATCTGGCTCTCAGAAGGGAGCTGGGCGCAGATATTGCCCTTAACCACCACATCAAGGAGCTGTGGCGGAAGCACACCTGCCAGGCCACGAGCATGTGAGGCGAGGGGCGGCGGAGTCCGGCCGCCTGGGGGCGGCGTCGGGCCTTGTGGCGGGAATCCGCTGGGGGCTTTGGGGGAGAAAAAAAAACCTCTTGGGGGCCTCTTGGAGGCCTCTTGGGAGCCTCCTGGGGGCCTCTTGGGGCCATCTTGGGGCTTCTTGCGACCTCCTCAGAAGCGCAGATGAGCGCTGCCCCCTGAGAAGGACAAAATGAGCCCAAAACCTTCGTGAAATCAATGATTTTGCGATGAGGGAAGATAAGCGCGGCCCGTTCAGAAGGCCCAAACGGGGCCAAAACCGTAGTAAAATCAATGATTTTGGCTTCAAAGAAGAGCAGAAGGGGCCAAACTCGGCCCCCCCGTCGGGGCCACAATCCTCGTGAGGGTCGTCGTTTTTTTGACCCTCCCAGGAGTTGAAAAAGACCCCCCTGGCCACCCGCGGGGGCCCCTCTCCAGGCCCAGGGGGAGGGGGTAGGGGGAGGGGTAAACCCCTCCCCGAAGAGGAAGAAGGGTTGAGGACAGAGGGGGCTCTCTAAACCACTCACGCCCAAAGGGCTGGTGGGGTTAAATTAATGCACAGTTGTCTGAGACAATCGAAAGGCTGCCGCCTCTGCCGCCGACCCCAATTGCGCGACGTATGTTTGATTCGTTCGTTGTTGGGCTGCCTTTCCGAACACGGCAGGAAGGGTTCAGGTGAAACATCCAGGCTTGAGCCTCGCTCCCTGGACTCTTGATTCTCTGTTGCACCTCGGACTCCTCTCTATCGAATGGCCTTCGGCCAATCCCGCCACTGTGCCTGGGTTGTGGGGTGCGAAGCCTATTGGACTTTCGGTGGGATTTCGAGGGTGACCTTTTACGGAGCCTCTTGGATGCAGTTTTGAGGCCTCTTGGAGGCAGTTTTGGAGCCTCTTGGGGTCGCTGTTGGGTCCCCTGGGCGCCTCTTGGAGCCTCTTGAGTGCCTCTTGGGGCCTTCTGGGGGCCTCTTGGGGCGGAACGCTCGCGGTTCGTGTTCCCTCTCTCGGGCCACTATTGGGGCCGTCTTGGGGTCCTCTTGGGCCGTCTTGGGCGCCTCCTGGGCCCTCGAGGGCCGCCTTGGGGCCCTCTTGGAGGCTTCTTGGGCAGTCCTGGGGTGGCATTGAAAGCCTCGAGGGCCGTCTGAGAGCGTCGGGAAGGAAACACGGCGACAACGCCAAAATCATTGAAACAACGAATGCAAATCAATGGTTTTTGCCTCTCAGGATCCTCTTGGGGCGCATCTTCGAGGCCTCTTGGGGCATCTTGGAGGCCTCTTGGGCCATCTTGAGGCCATTTAGGGCGTCTTGGAGCGATCTTTGGGCGTCTCGGGGCGTTCTGGGCCGTCGTGGGCCTCTTTGGGCCCTGTTGGGCCCGTTTTGGGGCCCCCATCGTTCCGAAACGGTCACGCGAGAAACCGGAGAAGCCCCAGGAGAAGATGTCGCGATGTGGGGTCTGGGGTTATGAACGACTCCTCAGGCGTGATGATTGAGGTTGAGAGGATGATGGCAAGGACCTGAGGGCACGCCCACTCCGTGCCCAGAGGCGCGGTGGCGGATCTATCCGTAAGGGCTTCGCCCCCTGCCGCCGGCCCCCTCTCTCGGAGAATGTTTTACGCAACAGATATATCATGAGGCCTGGGCGCTGTCGTGAAGCAGTATCGGAACTTCATGCGAGGCCGACTCGTAATGAGCAAAACCAGTAGACGACCAGAGAGGTTACCACACCTGGCGATTGGTAAGACCTCGTGACTCATACCTTGCCTATCTGCATGAGGGGTGCCGCCCGATTTCAGAAATGTGGCAAATGCCATGTGTCTTTGGACCCTGACCCCGCCGATCTGCGTGAGGGGTGCCACCGAATTTTCAGAAATGTGGCAAATCCCCTATGTTTTTGCACCCTGACCCCGCCGATCTGCGTGAGGGGTGCCGCCGAATGTCAGAAATGTGGCAAATGCCATGTGTCTTTGGACCCTGACCCCGCCGATTTGAGTGAGGGGTGCCACCGAATTTCAGAAATGTGGCAAATCCCGTGTGTGTTTTGGACCCTGACCCCGCCGATCTGCGTGAGGGGTGCCACCGAATTTCAGATATGTGGCAAATCCCGTGTGTGTTTTGGACCCTGACCCCGCCGATCTGCGTGAGGGGTGCCGCCGAATGTCAGAAACGTGGCAAATGCCATGTGCGTTTGGACCCTGACCCCGCCGATCTGCGTGAGGGGTGCCACCGATTTGTTTGAGAAATGTGGCAAATCCCCTATGTCTTTGGACCTTGACCCCGGTGATCTGCGTGAGGGGTGTCAATGTTTATCCACCCCAGGAATTCAGACAATACGAATTGGGCGTAGTAAAAATGCCCCTTTTGGGCTCCCCCCCTTGCGCGGCCCATCAAACTGCGAGCCTCCGGCCTACAGCCTGGTGGCCCCATAAGGGGGCCAGCGGACATAACCATGATAATCCGATGATCATCGTTCCGACAGATCGCATCGCACTTCCGAGCTCCAATGGGGGAGCCGCCTGATGGTATTTCAACAATCTGTTGTTGATTTCAACAATCTGTTGTTGGTTTGAATCGAGGGGGGTGGCAGTGACTCGGGTTAGCGGTCGGCAGGTTGGGCGAGGTGGCAAATATCATCCAGGAGCAGCAACGACCCCATTCCCGAAGGGGAAAAATGGGGTTGGACAAGGAACCGCGATTGACCATCTCCTGCCCAGAAAACGGGTGTTTGTTTGTCAGGAGACCCCATGCGAGAAGTTGTCTGGGTCGGTTTCGGCGAAGCCATCATTTTGGGCCCTGAGATGCCGCCTGTGAGGCGGTCTGGCGGGTCTCGAGACATCTCTGCAGTTGTGGGTTTCGAGTTGCCGCGCGAGAGATAGTCCAGCCCATTTCGCGTCGGCTTCTTCGCCGCTGTCATGAGGCGGTCCCGCTTTTTTGGCTTGAAACATCATCGCAGAGCAATCTTCGCCCGGTGCATCCTCGTTATTCTGGATTAGTCGATGCTCTTGCCGCACGGTGTCAGATCCCGTTTCCTCGCTGCTCCGTGCTCGCAGTTGCCGTGGATTGTTCGTTTCGCTTGAGATCTCATTGCCACTCCAGGTTTATGTACGTCTTCTGTCCTCACCTCACGTGGTCCCGGTCTTTTTCGCTTGAGACATCGTCGGGATTGTGTGTTTCGGGGATGCTCAGACCTGAGGTGGTTCAACCAATTTCGCCCGAGATCTCCCATTTCTGGGCTCAGAGATGTCCTGTCAATTCGTGTCGCTTTTCAGTGGACAATCGGGGAGACTGGAACCCGCCTTGTTGCCAGTGGCAAATCTGTCAATCGGGGCCACTTGTCAAATGGGCGAGGGTAGCTGGGCATTGCATGAGGCGGGTTGCCCGTCGATTTCGCACACTAGTCGCCCAAAGGGGTGGGCGGACTGGCACTTCGTCGGAGGGTAGGCCCGACGTTGCCCCATCAGCCAGACCACTGCTGCTACTGCACCTCGCCTTGCCTCTGCGCAAAAAAGAAGAGATATCACATCACCTTCAAGGCTGGCTGGTTCGAACGTCATGGGGCGTCGCGTGAAGTTCGCGGGAGGGGTCAGTGATATGCCAGCACCAAGCTTGGCCAGGCCTTCCATGGCCTTTCGCCAGCTGCCCCTGAGAGGCTTGGCCAACTTAGGAGCTTCGATTTCTGGCCGATCCGACTCTTGGGTTCCAGTTTCGGAGAGCTGGCGCAGCGCGCCCCTGAAAAGTGCTGACGCTTTTGACGCTCCTGAAGCTCTTGACGCTCTTGCGCTCCTGATGCTCCTGACGCTCTAGGCGTCAGAGCGTCAGGAGCGTCAGGGAGGTCAGGGGCGTCAGGGGCGTCAGGATCGTCAGAGCGTCAAGAGCGTCAGGAGCGTCAAGAGCGTCAGGGGCGTCAGGAGCGTCAGGAAGCGTCAGGGAGCAGCAGGAAGCGTCGGGGGCGCCGGGGGGCGTCAGGAGCGTCAGGAGCATCAGAGCGTCAGGAGCGTCAGGTGCGTCAGGAGCGTCAGGAGCGTCAGGAGCGTCAGGAGCGTCAGAACGTCAAGAGCGTCAGGGGCGTCCACCACTCCGGCGCCGCCGCTCGAGACATCCTCACAACTCCGGCGCCGCCGGTCGAGACATCCTCACATTTCTGGCGCCGCCGCTCGAGACATCCTCACAACTCCGGCGCCGCCGCTGGAAACATCCTCACAACTTCGGCGCCGCCGCTCGAGACATCCTCACATCTCCAGCGCCGCCGCTCGAGCGTCAGGAGCGTCAGGGGCGTCAAGAGCGTCAGGAGCGTCAGAGCGTCAATAGCGTCAGGAGTAGCAGCAGGAGCGTCAGGGAGCGTGAGGGAGCGTCGGGGACGCCGGGAGCGTCAGGAATGTCAGGAGCGTCAGAGCGTCAGGAGCGTCAGGGGCGTCAGGAGCGTCAGGAGCGTCAGGAGCGTCATGAGCGTCAGGAGCGTCAAGAGCGTCAGGAGCGTCAGGGGCATCCACCACTCCGGCGCCGCCGCTCGAGACATCCTCACAGCTCCAGCGCCGCCGTTCGAGACATCCTCACATTTCCGGCGCCGTCGCTCGAGACATCATCACACCTCCGGCGCCGCCGGTCGAAACATCCTCACAACTCCGGCGACGCCGCTCGAGACATCATCACACCTCCGGCGCCGCCGCTGGAAACATCCTCACAACTTCGGCGCCGCCGCTCGAGACAGCCTTACAACTCCGGCGCCGCCGCTCGAGCGTCAGGAGCGTCAAGGGCGTCAAGAGCGTCAGGGGCGTCGGGAGCGTCAGGAGCGTCAGGGAGCAGCAGGAGCGTCAGGAGAGCCAAGGGCGTCAGGGGCGTCCACAACTCTGGCACCGCCGTTCGAGACATCCTCGCAACTCTGGCGCCACCGCTCGAGTCATCCTCACAATTTCGGCGCCGCCGCTCGAAACGTCCTCACAACTCGGGCGCCGCCGCTCGAGACATCCTCACAACTCCGGCGCCACCGCTGGAGAGGGATGGGGGGATGGAGGGAGCTGGATGGAAGGAGTGAGGAGGAGGAGGAGGAGGGGGATTGGGGAGGAGGACTAAGGATAAGAAGAGGATGGGGACACTTTGAGCCCAAACTCTCGATCGACACGTTTGGCAAGTTAATTGTGACGCGATTTGTATCAGAGCAGGTCGTGGGGATGTCCCGTACGACGCGCTCGATTGGCATCCCCGACTCCTTTGCATTCAGAGCACCACTCGGGGGCCCTCGTCGTTACGGCTGGATTCGCTTTTAGTTTACACTTCATAGTTTCGCCACGGTGGACATAATTAGCTTACACCGCGGTGGGCGCGGCCCTTGGCGGCCAATATCCGGTCCTATTGGCTGACATCGGGTGCTATTTGCTGCTGTCGGCCTCCGGCGGCTACAGTCGGCTGCTATACGAGACTGCAGGCTCACATCAGAACTACCCGAGTGTTAAGACCAGAGGGTGAAGAAATAAGGAGCATCCTCATCTATCCTCCACATCTTCCTCCGGTGTTTCTGTTCACGCCATTCCCTATCGCGTTACTCATTCGTCTCATGCTGCTCTACGTGTTCCACCTAGCCCTCGTCCTTTCCCCTGTTGCGTTTCATTATCGCCCTTTTCGGATATTCCTCCTCGTGCTGCTCCTCGTCCTCACCTCCTCGGTATAATGCTCTTCTTCCGTCCCTCCTCTTGCTTCTCATGCTGTCTTCCGCATCTCTTCACCCCCCTATCGTTTTACTCGTGCTGCTCTTCTCCCTTTGTCTCCGACTTGTCCTCCCCTCCGAAGCGGTGGCTCAAGATGGCACGCTCTCGGTGCGAGGGCGCTGCATATTGTCCACGTTACACCACGTGCCGTGCCGAGGACGGACGCCCCGCGTGTTCAGAGCACGGCGGGGTGTCAAGACGGGGCCGATGGGACCGCCAGGCTGAGGCCTCAGCGTTTGCCCCCCGAGCGTCTCCACCAGAACCAACAGGTCCGCCAGCGAGCGTGGAAGACACGTCGGATTCGGACTGTTCCGATGTTGACAGCAAGCAAGACCAGGAACACGATGAGGACACCCGGGAACCTACGTCATGGACGTATCTTACCAAGGCGACGACGGTGACAAGTATTTGGCAGGAGCGAAGTGATGTCCGAAAACTTTAGCAGCGCTTCGGACCAGATCGCTGTCCGCATGGGTTTCACCAACAAGCCTTTGTCCCGCGCGTTCTTTCACTTCCACTGCCTGTTAACAGTGGTCCAGCGGGACGGGTTGGTCCGAAAAGAAGCGCAGGATCGCGCGGAGCCTGGGCAAAAGCGCGCCCCGTCGCTGTGTCGAACTAATGTGTCGCACGCGCCCTTTGTAGGCAGGCAGCCTCGCCTGGGCGCGGCGCTCAGGTCGCGCGCGTGATTTGCGGCCAGCATCAATCGACGCATTTTCCGTTCGGCGCTGGCGACTGAGGCTCGCTTGGGTGCGCTGCCGGCGCGCAATATTGCACGCTTCGATACACGGGGGCCAGCGAGCTCATCGAGGATAGGGCGACGCGGGATCCCGGCGCTGCTCTTCGGCATCTCTGCGACGGCGTCACACCAGGCGCGAGCGAGGTTGTTCCTTATATTTTATCCGCGCATCTGTCCTCAGCAAATTGCGCATGATGTCCTCTGTCACTGGGTGGTTCGACGGGCACGACGGAAAGCGGCGCGCGCGCCCGCGCAGCATCGGTGTTCCGATCGTTCGCAGTTTTTGGATCATGGACCACCTGTTGCACGCTCTGCCGAGATGGACAATTTCCTGCCTCGCCGTCGCGGGCCAGCTTAGCAGTTTAATCCGAGTCGCGAGGACGGCGCGGCAGCAGATGTGCGCCGCGTAGTTCTGTTGCAGAGGATCGGGGTCGGCGCAGGCTTCGCCGCGAAAGGCTAAGGCCCGATGCGCGCAGAAAGGGCGTCTTATTTGCACGCTTGAAAAAAAACGAAATTAAGATCAGCCGGCGCGCGCCGCGTTGTTTTTGCAGCGGGCCCTGAGCGGCGCAGGCACCCATCGCGAACGGTTCAAAATTTCAGGGACGCACGAATTGCACGAGGTCGTCAAGGTGGAAGGCTTGAGAAGGTGATGTTCAGAGCGGCACTTGCGTGCTGCTCGGAGGCTTTCCATGCATCGCAGCACCGCTCGTCGAAGTTGACGCGGCGCTACGTGGACTGCCCCGAGAGACGGAGTTGCCGCGCGTGCGAGATTCGAAAGTACGAAGAGGCGCCCGCGCACTGTCAGTGGGAGCTGACAGGAAACAGCCGGTGCAAAGGGGGTGTGTGCGAAGAGCGCGAAGAGCTGAAGAAGCACCTCACGTGCCCCCGCTGCGGCAAGGAGAAGTTGGTGGACGAATTTGCGCTGGCGGAGAGGAACAGCGACGAGCGCAAATTCAAAGCGCGCAAGAAGTTCGGGGGGGGGGGGGGGGGCGGCGCGCCGATGAAGACAGGCGGGCGGCATGCTCAAAGCGCGGGGGGTCGAAATGGCAGGCGGAGCTTTCCGCCTGCGCGTTGAGCCACGCCTTCCACAGCGTCGATTGCGCGAACCCAGTGCGTCGACGCAGCAGCGGCAGACCGGGGCAGCGCGTCGCGGGAAGACGGGGTTCTGCATTGCGCGTGAGGTTGCGCAGGGCCGAGATTGCGTTTTCTTTTTTCTCCGGATCGAATGTGGGAGAAAGGGGTTTGCTCAGGACCGGAAACGCACGCGCTATATCGAGGCGTCAGCTGTGAGCTCGAAGATTCGCGCCGCGCGCGAAGTAACGCAGGGGCGCGATTCGTTCGCGGACCGCACGTGGACAAGCGTAGCTGATTGAGACCGCGAGCGCAAGCGTTGCGTCGCGGGAGCCAAGATACAGCGGCGATGTTGGATGCGCATTGCAAGGGCGCGTTGCCGAAGGTGGAATTCAGCCGGCGGCTGGCCGAGCGGGCGCCGAAGAAGCCCTACGGGAAGCAAAGGCGCAACAAGCGCTTCGTGCATGATGAGCGGAGGAGGGAGGGGGTCGCTGAAAGGAGTTGAGAGTCGGCGACGAAGAAACAGAAGTCCAGGTAGCTGTCGCGCGGGGCGGGAAAAGGCGCGGGCTCTGGCGGCCCATGTCAGTGGGCTCTAGGGAGGCAGAACGGACAGGTGGGAGCGTCGCGGTTGGGGGCACCAAGAACAGAGCTGCCGCGGGGCGGGGGTGTCGGGGCGCAGTGGGGGCGGAGGGGGTGGAGTTGTGGGGGCGGGGGGGGGGCGTTGGTAGGTCCCGGGCGAGGCAAGTGCGGGCGGCCGGGGGTCCGAAGATTGAAGCTGCCGTGGGGCGAGGGTGGGGGGCCCCGAGAACAGCTGCCACGCGGTAGGGGCGTCGGGGCGCGGCGGGTGCGCGGGGGGGCATCGATGGGTTCCAGGTGAGAAATTACGGGTTGGGGGGCCCATGGAACAGAGGTGGCGCGGGGTGGGGGCGTCGGGGCGCGGTGGAGGCGTGGGGGGGGTATCGGTGGGTTCCCGGCGAGAAATTGCGGATTGGGGGCTCCCATGAACAGAGCTGCCGCGGGGTGGGGGCGTCGGCGCGCGGCGGGGGCGTGGGGCGCTGTCGCGCGGCAGGGGCGTCGGGGCGTGGCGGGGGCGCGGGGGGGGGGCATCGGTTCCAGGTGAGAAATTGCCCGCTGGGGGGTCCCAAGAACAGTTCTGCCGTGGGGTGGGGCTCCCAAGAACAGGGCTGCCGTGGGGCGGGGGTGTCGAGACGTGGCGGGCGCGCGGGGGGGGGGGGGCCGGTGGGTTCTCCCAGGGTGCCCGAGCGAGCCCCGAGACGGCCGACAGGGGTCTTCAAAACCCTGGAAGATGGCACAGGAAGATTTTGACGAAGCCCCACGACGCCTCCAGGAGGCCCCCAAGAGGCCCCTCAGGCCCCAAGAGGATCCCCACAGGCCCCACGACGCCCCAAGAAGCCCACACGAGACCTCAAGAAGCCAACAAGAGGCGACGCAGAGGCCCCACTGAGGCCTCCCAGAGGCCCACCTCCATCCTTGGAAGAGCCCTGAGGCCCCCAAGAGGGTCCCACGGAGCCCCCAGGGGCCCACCTGGAGGCCCTCCCAGACCGAAGACCATTCAAACACCGCAGGGAAACTCTGCATGTTGGACTTCAAGCCTTTTTGCCTTCGATGCCCTTCCGAGGCTTTAACCCAGCGCCCAACGCGCCCCAATGATGCACCCAAGAGGCAACCAAAGCCTCCCCAAGACGCCCCAAGAGGCCCCAAGAGGCCCATGACGCCCCGAATGGCTCCCCGCCCCCGAAAACGTTCCCAAGAGGCACCAACGAGCCCCCAGGCGCCCACCAAAATGTATGGATTTGGGGCGCGGTCAGCACCGCCTGCACGGAGGGCAGCGATGCACGCGTTTCTGCGAGCAGACACGAGTGTCTGCTCAGCGGCGCGGTGGGCCCCTTGCCTGGGGAGCCGCAGTCGTCGTGCGGCGGCCTTTGCGCATGGTTGCCGCGGCGAGTGAGGTGGAAGAGGTACGTCTCGTTCAGTTTCGTGCCGGGGAGCGAATCTAGCTTTACCAGGGGGACTTGAAGAGAACCCCAGGCGGTGGCCCTTCGGATGGCGACGCCCGCATCAAGGGAGACCCTTGGGCCAAGGCTAGAAGGAGAGAGAGAGAGAGAGAAAGAGAGAGAGAGAGAGAGCGGGAGAGAGAGAGAGAGAGAAGGAGACAAACAAAAAACAAGACAGGGGCAGAGACAGGCAGAGGCAGAGGCAGAGACACACAGAGAGCGGGAGTAGGAAGAGAGAGAGAGAGAGAGAGAGAGAAACAAAAAAAAGAGAGAGAGAGAGAGGGCACGGAACGAGAGAGGGGGGGCAGTGAGAGCGAGAGAGAACGAGAGAGAGAGGGACATAAATTCATCCATCCTACCAGCCAGGCGGGCTCAAACAGACGGACTGACAGACAGACAGACTGACAGACTGACAGACAGGCGGTCATGCAGACAGACCACGACCAACACAGGGACCGCGACGGGGAGAGGAGGGAGGGAGGGAGGGCCCGCTCCCCGCGCCCAGGTCCGCGGAGCAGGCCCGAACCGCCCTCGAGGGCCTGCTGGTGCCCGTGGAGCAGGCGAGGCGCGAGCTGGAGCTGGAGAAGCGCCGCGGCAGTGAGGCGGGCCCCGCGCGCGCGCGGGGTGGCGCTGCCCCTCCTCCATATCCTCCTCCTTCCCGGATCCTCCTCCATATCCTCCTCCCCCTCCTCCACCCTTTCCTCCTCCTCCCCCTCCTCCCCCTCCCGTCCTCCTCCTCCTCCTCCTCCTCCTCCTCCTCCTCCTCCTCCTCGTCCTCCTCCTCCTCCTCCTCCTCCTCCTCCTCGTCCTCCAGGTGGCCCCGCTGCGTGACCCCCGCGCAGCCGTTGCCCCCGGCGCGCGCACGGCCAGGCCCGCGCCATCTGGGCCCCCAGCGCCGAGGGCGCGAGGTGGCAAGGAGAAAGCACCAGGACGACGCGCGAGCGCTCGCCCGCCTGGTACAAGAGAGCGCGCAGGAAGAGCGCCTAGGCGAGGGTAGTTTTCAGACTGGTGCGCTTCAGGCTGCTGCTAGACGACCACCACCGCAGCCGTGCTCCAATGGGCCGTTCGTCGGAGTACCTGGTGTGCAAGGAATGTGGCGAAAGGAGGTGGTGGTGCAGCAAGCTCGAGAGCATGGGGTTTCAAGCGCGGTTCGTGCAAGGCACTGCTCCCCAAGCCCAGGCTCGGGGCTGGAGCGGAAAAGGGTGAATGCAAGAACGGCAAGGGCGGCACGAGGCATGAGGCAGCTTGACCCGCCGCGGTCGCGGCCGCCGATGCCGTGGTCTCACATGCGCCTGATCGCGCTGCAGCTGGCGGTGATGGGGTTCCCCTTGGAGGCGCTGGTTTGCCTGCTGATGTTCGCGGGCTACCCGCGCCCAGGCGAGGCAGGCGACGGCGATCGCGGAGACCTTGGTCGCCCCCCAGGCGGGCTCCAGCAAGTTCGCGGCCCTGAACATGTTTCCACAGGAGACGGCGCAGTGGTCCAAGACGGGCTCGTACGACCATTCGCTCCTCCTGGACTTGCCCTGCGCCCCCTGGCTCGGCGACCTCCTGATGCTGTTGCGGGCGCGGACCCATCCCGGCGCCGTGATGTTCCCGATCTGCTATTCGACCGCCCGCAACCACTGGGTCAGGGCGGTCGGCGTGGCATATGGCGGGGCTAGGACAATTCGACTACGTGCTGTACCAACTCCGCAACTGCGGCGCAGGCTTGGACACGTTCGACCGCCTCCGCAGCAGGAATGAGGTCAAGGCCGGGGGAGGATGGATGTCAGACTCCAGCCGCCCGCGGTCACTACGAAAATGCCGCGAGAGCCCAGCAGATGGAGGGCGCGGCCGCGGCCGACGTCCACCATAAGGCGCAGCAGGCCGTCTCGCAGCTCCCCGCCGCGCTCCGAGGCGCGCTGGACCAGCGCCAGGCGCCGCAGCCGTCGACCTCACCGCGATCGAGCTCTTCTGCGGCCGCTTCAGGATCGGCCACGCCCCCCGGGGCCCTCGGCATCACGACGGGCCCACTGAGAACATGGGCCTGCCTGATCTCTCTCCTGCCAACCGCCAGCGAGTTCTCACGCGTAAGAGGTTCCTCGCGGTCTTTCTGAAGCTGATGCACTTGGCCCCTAATAAAGGTGTCATAGTTGTGCTTGAGAGCCCGCGCTCTAGTCGCATGTGGCGCGTTCCTTCGCTGCGCAAGCTTGTTCGACAGTGGCCTCGCACATGGGACCGCTTTGATATGTGTCAATATGGAGCCCCCTTTCGTATAATGACGGGTCTCCTCACAATCTACGTCGAGGCACTGAAAGCGCGATGCTGCAAGCCCAGTAGAAACATCGATGGAGCGACAGCCTGCTCTCACGCGAATCTGGCCCACGAGGAACTTGCGGGCTTCGCTTCGGCAGGAAAGTTCAAGACTCGAGCTGCCCAAACTTATCCTTTCACCTTGGGTCGCTCGGTCTGCAGGTGATCTCCGCGATAGCTTCGAGGATGTCGGTGATGGCATACTGCTCGTATGCAATAATAGCGATCATGCTGCTGGCGGCTGTGGTGTCCGATATTGTTGCGGTGTCTTCCAGGTCGTCGTGCACTCCCGGTCGCTGTTTGCTACTGGTTGCAGCGGTGAGATGATCGCGCAGAGGTGCATTTCGTCAGTAACGCAGGGACCGATGGGAGGCCCTAGCGTCTAGGTGACGGGCGCGCTGGCGTTGTCCTCAGGCAGTCCGAGATGCTCGTTGCTACGTCGGATTCGTCGTATCTCATCCTCGTTCGCGTCGCGCTCGTCGTCGGTGGGCCTTTGTCCAGCGTGAAACCATGAGGCCGCGCATGTTTTGGATGCCTTGACGCGTTTGAGTAGACGGTTGGGGGGTGGTGAAGTCCGTCAGGCATATTTGGCATGTAGTGCCCGTCGCTATATGTACCATGTCGCGCCGCGGTTGGCGGCGCTTGTGCACGCGCTTGGCGCGGGCTGCCTCGTTGGCAACGGTTGCTCCCCAATGGTAGCACATGTAGGCTGGACGGCCCACCTTCGCCGGTAGTGTCGTCGATGCTGTAGGTTCAGCCGTGGGCGTACCGAGTTGGGTCTTGACGTTGATCATCGCGCTGCATGTCTGGTGGTCGCTGGTCCCTCTCGAGTCGCTCTGATCTACGTTGCAACGTCGTAGATCTCTTCGGCTGGGCACTTGTCGTCGATGCACGGGTGGATGGTGTGGATGTCGTCGTTGATTGTGGTAGCCCAGCATCCTCCTTGGATGATGTTGCAATCGACTTGTGCCTGAAGCTCTCGCGGGCATTGGTGCACCAGCCCCCCTAGCTGCTTGAGTCGATAAGTACTCAGCCGCGTTTCCAAAGTTGGGAGCTCGAGCCTCGCCAAGATCTCGAGGTCGGTGATGGCCTCTGTCTTCATCTCGTTGTGCGTTATGCCAACTGCCTGTCGCGCAGCTCCGACGCATGCAGTGTTGAGGCGAGACCTGTCGCCGACCTTGCTGGCGGTCCACGCACCCGGGTTGTAGACTAGCTTGGAGAGACCGAAGGCCTCGAGGTCGCGTTTCTTTGCGCCTGTCGTGATGTGCGGGCGTTTGAATAGCGCCTTGTCGCTTCTTGCAGGCTTACGATACGCGGTGTGATCTCCTGTGCGAGGTCGTTCCTGTCGTTGAACATGGCCCTGAGTAGCTTGGTGGATCTGGCGACATTCAGCTCCATGTTCGCGTCGGCGAACTTCCTGCCATTCCTCCAATAGTCCCTGGCCGTGCTTGCCGCAGCCGTGTTCGCGAAAACGAGGGAGCTGGACTTGCGAGCGTTAAGCGGGAGTCTTCTGGCAAGTGTTGCTCGAACTAGGTGGTGCCACATGGTGCCGATCACGTCGTCGATATTGTCGCCGTTGTCCGTGGTAGCAGCAGCTTTGACGTCATCGGCGAATGACGTACTGGCACTGATTATGTCGTCGTGGTCTTGCTGCAAGGTGGGGTCGGTGCGTGGCATATCAATATTGGCGCCTGATATGCTGGCGCGCTGGTGGCAGCCCCTGACAACGTCGGGCATTAGCGCGTCGAAGGCGAAGCTGGCTGTTGGCACTCGAGGCCTTGATCCAAGTCGTGGCATGGCATGTTCGGCATCGACATGGATGTAGAACCAGGTGCCTCGATGTGCCTCCGCGAGCATAGAGCTGACGTGCTCGCTGTCGACATTTCGTGGCACAACTGCGTTGTTTCCCATTAGCTATCGGGCGGCTGGGATCATCATCTCTGGTATCTCGATGTTGTCGAGGGCGTCCTGTATATCGTCGGCGCTGCGCGGCATGTTGTAGAGCATTGCGTTGATGGCCTTGTGGGATGCGGCCTTTAGACCGATCATGGCGATGGCTAGGTCCAAGTGCTCCCTCTTGGCCATGTCCGCGAGGAGTCGCACCGCGAGGTGGTTCAAGTCGGCGCTGTGGTGATGTCGCCCGCCCGCCTGTGCGCTGAAGAAGATGCCGGGCATCGCGTCTCGTAGGCACTGACGTAATCAGCGGTAGTGTTGCTTTATGACTGCGTTGGCCAATGTGATGGATCTCTGGGTGCCCAGCTGCCATTTCGCTGCCCTTGCCCTTCCAGAAGCACGTCATCCTCGAGCCCTCGTGCGCGACCCCACCTGCAACAGAGAGCCGCCTTCGCAATGATAGGATGCATGTGTCTGGCCATTCCTTTTGGCGCGACCCTGGCAAAATCGTCCGCGATGCCATCTGGTCCCGGCGCTTGAAGCGGCTTGGCGATGTCAAGGATCTCCCGCGATTCTTAAATGTTAGCGAAGCTGCCGATGTGTCGTAGCATGTCATTGTCGGCGATGTCATCACTCTGGTTGTACGTTGTGACAATGTCTCTTTCCTGTGGTAGTCGCGCTGCTTCATTGTGTCCGAAGTGCTTTGTTGTTGCTTGTCATGTTTCCCCAATGCTGCCGTGTTGGGTTCTCGTTTTGTATAGAGCAGTGTGGTTTCTACCTCCTCCTCCTCCTCCTCTCCCCCCCTCTCCTCCCCTCCTCCTTCTCTCCTGTTTCCTGTGTTCCCCCCTCTCTCTCCTCTTCTCTCGTGCCGTCGGGCTGCGATCTTAGCAACTGTCGCCACTTTCGCTGGCTCCTAGGAGGCCCAGCGGAGGTGCGTCCCACGCGGGCCACCACCATAGCTCGCGGTGCCCTGGGGGCTGCGATCTGCGCGCAACTGTCGCCATTTTCGCGGGTCCCTGGGAGGCCCAGCGGAGGTGCGCCCCACGCGGACAACCACTAGAGCACTAGAGCTCGCTGTGCCCTGGGGGGCTGCGATCTGCGAAGCAGCGTGTTTTTCGCGGGGCTCCTGGGAGGCCCAGCGGTGGTGCGCCCCATGCAAACCACCACTATAGCTCGCGGTGCCCTGGGGGGCTGCGATCTGCAAAATTATCGGCACTTTCGCGGGTTCACACAGAGCCCAGCGGGGTGCGCCCCCCGTGGACCACCATTATGGCTAGCGGTGCCCTGGGGGGCTGCAATCTGCGAAAATGTCGGCATTTTCGCGGGCACCTTGGCGGCCTGGCGGAGGTGCGCCCCACGCGGACCACCACTACAGCTCGCGGTGCCCTGGGGAGCTGCGATCTGCGAAATAGTCGCCATTTTCGTGGGCCCCTGGGAGGCACAGCGGAGGTGCGTCCCACGCGGACCACCACTATAGCTCGCGGTGCCCTGGGGGGCTGCGATCTGCGAAAGTGTCAGCGCTTTCGCGGGGCTCCTGGGAGGTCCGGCGGAGATGCGTCCCACGCGGACCACCGCTATAGCTCGCGGTGCCCTAGGGGGCTGCGATCTGCGAAATTGTCGGCATTTTCGCGGGCTCCTGGGAGGCCAACTCCACCCTGCACCCGAGGCCTCGTAGTGCAGACAGAGCGCCGTGTTGTTCCACAACCTGGCACCGACGCAAAGTATGACCCCCCCCGTCGGCGGGCAGTCAGTCCCAAGTCAAATCATCCTCACGACCATCACCTCCCCACCTTGTTCCATCCCCCCCTGCCCCTCCCCATCCGCTTTGGTCCATCTTCTCGCCCCAGCCTCACTCGCCACCTTCCCTCGCGTTGGCAGGCCTTGCGCGAGAACGAGCGGCTGTTCAGGGAGGCGCAGCGCTTGTCTGACAGGGTGTCCGAGCTCGAGGCCCCTCATTCCTCACTGCCCCGCCCACGCGCGTGGGCAGCGTTGATGTGTACACGGCCCCATCTGATTTGCAAGGTGCCTTGCTCGCTCCTCTCACTCCTCCTCCCGCGCTTGGAGCACACGCTTGCGATATACATCCAGGTTTTTTATCCCGCGTCAGGAGATGCCCTTGGCAAGCGGGACCGCTTCTTGAGTTGTGGCATCTGTTGTGTTGCCAGACGGCATGGTGAAATTCCACCTTGCAGGATATTTCACGTATCGTGTAGCTTTTTTTCTGGGGGACGAGGGAGCCTATGACAGGGCAGCTGAGTTCGGCGCCAAACATCTACCCAGCGAAAGTACCAGCGCTTGGCGTAGCGTACCAGGCCGCACCTGCCCTGGAAGGCTGCAGAGGGTTCGCCCAGCACAATTTTATCTCCATGGGCACCTGAAATGATTACGAAGGCTCGCCGCTACCTCAGTAAAGTTGTTTGATATAGTTCTTCGTTTGGAAGGCCAGCCTTACGGACATGATCGTCACGTGGTTTTATTGTTGAATCCTTTGGAAGGTCAAAACGAGAATCGACAAAGTTGAGTCGATTGCAAATCTGAGGGACTCAGTGCCAGCATCCCTAAGAAAATGCGAGCACACAGTCTGGGAGAAGGAAGCGAAAACCATTTTGAAAAAGTTTGATTTCTTTGCGAAACATTCGAAAACCGCCAGACGCGGCTGAAGTCAATCGGACAAATCGAAGCAGTGTTTCGCGAAGAGCCGAGGACGATTGTTGGTATTCGAAATCATTCAAAAGCCGTCCAGCAGTAATTGGAAGAATTATTTGGAGATCGCCCCTCGACCGATCGAATCGATCGAAATGCGATGAAGAATCCTACAAAAGCCGACCGCCGCAGCCAAAGCTTGCCGAGGAGGGGTCCGCGAGCGGCGCCGCGGATCCGAGTGCTGCATGGGGCGGCCGCGATTTGAGGGGGCGGGGCGCTTGGCGTGTCTATCAGGTGTAGGGGAGGAGGAGGAGGAGGAGGAGGAGAAGAAGGAGAAGGAGAAGGAGGAGGACGGCGAGGAGGAGGACGAGGATGAGGAGAAGGAGGAGGAGGAGGAGGAGGAGACGTGTGTATCAGATATTATAATGCGAAGGGCGAATGATCGAAGAAGAAAAGACGCTATAAACATCCGCGCGGATTTCTTGGATCCGCGCTGGGCCCCCACGCGGCGCTCCCGGCGCCGCCCCGGGCTCGCTCCGCGCGCCGGGGAGGGGGGTCCGGCGCGGATCCACGAAATCCGCGCGGACCTCCAATAGTTCATGATGCTGTTGTTCTTGTTTCTCTGCATGAGGCGCCCTGAGCTGGACGCGCAAGCCACAGCACTCCTGGCCACGTTGTCTCGGCCGGAGCGCGCGCTGCACCAACCGCCCACCCGCCCTGCCTTATCGTTCCTGCTATCGCTCTGGGCGCTGGTAGCGGTCTCCGTCACACGACCGGAGTACCCCGCTCCCAGCACGCCCGTCTCTTGAGGCGTTGAGACAGACCTGGGGCGAAAGTGCCCGTGCTGACGACCCCACCCTTCTCTTTTAGCTGTCTCCCCCCATGTATCATCGCGCCAACATCGCAAAGCGGATTTCTTTCGTAAAACGATAGGATGGGCCTGGAGTGTCCTGGAGAATGTTGTTCCAGGTTTCGAGGTGAATTGAGTGCGGATTTTTTTGTTTGCCAGGAATGAAGACAAGAAAAAATCCACGCGAAATTCACTTCGTTTTTCGCTCGCCGCTTCAGGCAAAAATCCACGCAGAGGTCCGCTTCAGCACGTCTGCAAGGCCAGTGCAGCGACATGTGCTGCACACTTTCTGCACGCTGTGGCCAAGTGTCCGCTCAGCGGAGGGCTACACAGGCACACACACCCAAACTATTTGCGTCGGCTGCTAGGCAGAGTGACTGCGCTGGCGGTGAAGGCACACACACACACACACGCACACACACACACACACACACACACACGCACACTCGCACACACACACTCACACACCACACACACACACACACACACGCGTGTGGGCGCGCACACACTTTCGTAACGTCCGCGGGCGACTGGAGCGCTCACTTGGCCAGTCCTGCTGCAGTGTCCGCTGCAGTAAACACACACACAAAAGACAATTCTTCACGCTTCGCGTATCCCCACCAGCCCATCCCAAAACAGTCACCAGGCGAGTTGCCCTGATCAGGGATTTGAAGCAGCATTCGGCCCAGCAGCGATCCGCATCCGACTTTGTGAATTGTTCGAGGAGGAGGAGGAAGAGGAAGAGGAGGAGGAGGACCAGGATGCGGGACGAAGGAAGAGATACCGACGACGGAAACGACGACGACGACGACGACAGCATTGTACCATCGAGGCCTTTGCCGGTCTTTCGCTCTGGGTGCCTCTTGGAGGCCTCTTGCGGCCATCTTGGAGCCCTCTTGCAGCCATTTTCGAAGCTTTTGGGGCCTCTTGGGGCTCTCTTGGGCCCCTCTTGGGGCCCTCTTCGGGGTCTCTTGGGCCCCTCTTGAGAGCCCTGGGATCCCTCTTGGGGCCATCTTGGAGCCATCGGTCAAAGAAGGGGGGTTCTTAAGTACGCCCCCCAGGTCGGGGCCTGACAATTTGCCTCCTGGGGCCCGCTTGGGCCGCTCTTGGGTTCTATTTGGGCAGTTGGGTTTATTTGAGCCCCTCATGGGGCCCTTCTGGGTCATCTTGGAGCCATCTTAAAGCTTCAAGAGCCCATCGGAAGCGAAAAAGCGAGAAGGCAAATACACATAGCAAAACGCTCGGTCTTTGCAGGATGTTGGCTTCTTGGAGGCCTCTATGGGGGGCTCAGAGAGCACTGAGAGTCGTCTTGGGGCGGACTTGAGGCTTCTTGGAGGCATGTTTGAGTCCATCTTGAACCATCTTGGCATATCTTGAGCGATCTTGGAGGCCATCTTGGGTTATCTGGGGCCCTCTTGGAGCCACCTAGGGCCATCTTAGACGCTCTACCTCCTCGCGGCCCGCTCCAGACCTAGGGGAAGGGAAGAATTGCAGGGTAGTGCAGGGGGGCATTGCAGGGTCTTTTGGGTCTTTGCAGGGGGGGTGGAGGGGGGGTGGGGGGGGTTGGAGGGGGGGTTGGAGGGGGGGGGGGGGGTGGAGGGGGGGGTGGAAGGGGGTGGAGGGGGGGTGGAGGTGCGCGGAGGGGAGGTGGAGGGGGGGCCCAGGACCCAGGGGAGAGGGTAGGGAGAGGGGTTTATGATATGTTGGAAGAAGGAGCTCCTTAGACCACTCACGCCCTGAAGGGCTGGTGTGATTTGGGGACAAGCTGTGCGTTGTGGGCAACACCGGAGGCAACTACACTGGCGAGACGGCTTGGGCGACCAAGAAGGGCTTCGCCGCAGGCATGGACTGCTCCCTCTTGATCAACCCGTACTACGGGAAGACCTCCACGCGAGGTATCGTGATGCATTTGGAGGATAGCTTGAAGTATGGCCCGGCCATTATCTACAACGTCCCTGGCAGAACCGGTCAAGACATCAAGCCAGAGATCATCATGCAGATCGCGGGCCACGACCATTTCTGCGGCGTCAAGGAGTGCATGGGCCCTGAGAGGATCAGGGAGCTTGCCGACCAGGGCGTGGCCTGCTGGTCTGGCAACGACGACCAGTGCCACATGTCGCGGCGAGACTACGGGGCAGTTGGGGTCATTTCGTTGACGTCGAACGTCGTCCCTGGCATCATGCGTGAGATGATGTACTCGGCCGACCGCGCCGCCGCTGACGCGCTGGACGCGAAGATCCAGCCGCTGTACAAGTGGTTGTTCACCGAGCCGAACCCCATAGGAGTCAACACCATGCTTATGATGCTTGGGGCTTCGCAGCCCGTCTTCCGCTTGCCGTACACCCACACCTCCAAGGAGATGCGCCGAGAGGCAGTGAAGCTGATCCAGGCCGTAGGACAGCAGCACATGCCGCTCCTCGGAGAGGTCAGGGTGTTGGAGGACGAGGAGTTTAAGCATGTGCTCAACGGCGACGTGGCTGCCTAGGATGGCTGCGACAAGCCTGCCATACTGAGCAACTCTTAGCTGAACCATTTTTTTCGGGCCTTAGCTTCGCGCCCTCCAGATTCCTCACGGACCACCCATGACTTTGTTTTGGGTGCTTTTTGGTTGGAGATGCCGGAGAGCAGCATAAGCTAAGCAGACGTCGTGCGCCGCGCCACCCTTCAGTAGGAGCGCCTGAGCTGCCGCACATGTGCAGCCCCACAAAACTGTTGCTACCCTTAAAGAAGGCCGCTACTGCGCCAACAGCGCGCTTCTCTTACAGGTTGTATGCACGCCACGTCCAGTGCCGCTCCAGATACCTTTCTTTTACAGGCCGAATAAGCTGGATGCATCGCGATTCGAGCTGGCTTCAGCCGGTTGCACATCCCCGCCGATGAGACGTTTGTGCCACTCAGTTGAAAGCAACGCCTCGCCCAGACACCCGGTTGTTCGTTCTTTCCAGACGTTGGCCCTTGGAAACCTTACATAGTATTAAGGACTTTGAAATTATGACGCTCTGATGTCGTGCAAATACGGTCGCGGATGCCGCTCGCTTTGCCTCGAAGACCTTCTTTGGACCATCGCGCAGGACATCGGCAAAGATAAACGAGGTTGAAATTTGCCTCGCATCATCTGCTTCGCAGTTCCTTGCCTCTCCCTTTGTACCAGCTTGCCTACCTTCCATCTCTATGTCTCTCGTCTCTCCTCTCTTCTCTCTCTCTCTCTCTGTCTCTCTCTCTCTCTATCCTCCCGTCTACTGCTCCAGCTGCCTGCGGCAAGTCCCGCCACTGTGCCAGCCCAGCATTCTCGGTGGCAGCTGCTCGAATCTATGAGGACGACGAAGATGAAGACTAATATGACGATGATGATTATGATGATGATGATGATGATGATGATGATGATGATGATGATGATGATGATGATGATGATGATGATGGTTATTCGGCGGCGAGTGAGGGGGGGGGGGGAATTGAGAAGGAGAAGGCCTCCTCAGAAGGCCGCGGGACTTCTCAGAAGCCCTCGCGCCTTCTGAGTTTTTTTGTGTATTCGGGGAAAGCTTGGAGAACTTCTCAGACGGCCAGAGGCCTTCTGAGCCTTCTGATAAGGTCCGCCCCTTCTCACTTCCCCCCGGGGCCCGCCGCCGATTTATGCCCATGATTACGACTGACATGACAACGATGATTATGCTGATGACGACGACGACAACGATAATGATGATGATGACGATGATGATGATGATGGTGGTGGTGGTGGTGGTCATGATGACGACGACGATGGTGGTGACGACGGTGATGACGATGCGGATGATGATTCTTCTTATGCTGACTATGCTGATGACGATGATGCCGATGACGATGACGATGACGATGACGATGACAATGATGATGACGACGATGATGATGATGATGATGACGACGAACAATGATGCCGACGACAATGATGACGTTGACGATGATGACGATGATGATGATGATGACGAGGAGGACGACGACGATGATGATGCTGATGATGGTGATGATGCGGATTCTGCTGATGTTGTTGTTGTTGGTGGTGGTGATTGCGGAGATGGTGATGATGATGGTGATGATGCTGATGCTCATGCTGCTGCAGCTGATGATTATGCTGCTGCTGATGGTGATGATGCTGATGATGATGATGATGATGATGATGAGCATAGGAGGACGACGAGGATGTTGGTGGTGATGATGATGATGATGAGGAGGAGGAGGAGGAGGAGGAGGTGGAGGATGAGGAGGAGGACGGCGAATGGGATAGCCGCCACATGTGACACCTTTCGCCTTCACCTCTTGAGGGGCCACATGGACCTCATTTGGGCCGTACTGGGGCTGTCCTGGGGTCTTGAGGGGCACTCCTGGGGTCCCTTGGGGCCCTCTGGGGCCGTCTTGGCCCTTCTTGGGCAGTCTTGGGGCTCTCTTGGGACCCTCATGGCCATCTGGGGGGTCTGTTGGGGCCGTCGTGAGGCCGTCTTGGGCCGTCCAGGGGTCCTTTTAGGCAGTCTTGGAGCCCTCCGGAGGCCCTTTAGGGCCCGCTTGAGGCCCTCTTGGGTTCGTCCTGGGCTGTCAAGGGGCCCTCTTAGGCTGTCTTGAGGCCGTCTTGGAGGTTTCTTGGGCTATCTTGAGGCCCTCTTGGGCCGTCTTGGGACCATCTTGGAGGCCTCTTGGGCCGTTTTGAGCCGACGGAAGCTCGAAAGGCGAGAGTGCGAAAATCATTCAAACACTTATGTGTCATCAATGCTTTTGGCTTCTTCGGGCCTTGCTGGAGGGTCTCTCGGAGCCCTCTTGGGCTGTCTTGGAGGCCTCTTGGGCAGTCCTGAGGCCATCTTGGGCTGTCTTGGGCCCATCTCGGGCCGTCATGGAGGCATTTTGGACCATCTTGGCGGCGCCAGGGTGGCGTCGGGCAGTCCAGGGAGCCTCGGGAGGGGGTGCGATGCATGCAACGAAGTGCTACGAGAGGGAGGGGGTCCTTAGAAAACTATCCACAACCCTGCCAGACAGCACTTGGCATTCTACCACGCCTTAACGTGCCAGGGGGCACAGTGGCGGATAAGGAGCAGGGATGGAGGAGGAGGAAGATGATGATGAGGATGATGATGATGATGATGATGATGAGGAGGAGTGTGGAAAGCACGAATTCGGCCCTCCAGGGGACACCCCAAAGGCTGTGTGCGCGTGGCAGGGACCCCTACGGGGGCGGTGCAACTTTGGGTGTGGGCACAGCCAAAGCGCCGACGAGGAGGAGGAGGACCAGGATGAGGGAGGAGGAGCGGAGAAGGAGGAGCAGGAGGAGGAGGAGGAATAATGTTAGCCCGCGTGGAACCCAAACAGTATGTTCGTGGACTCTCGATGTGCGATCAATGCTGTGCAATATGCGGGATGCAATCTATGGGGTGCAATCTGTGGGGCGGACTCTACGGAGTGTAATCCACCCTTGCGGGCACATCCCCCATACTCGAGCAAACATCCCACCAACCCGCCCGCAACTTGTTTGGCAAAACTACTACGACCACGAGTGCATGGAACTTCCTCGCACATCTGAGAGGTGGCACTGGCGCGTGGACACTTCCATGCGGATCGGGCAACTTGTTTGACAAAGCTAGTGTGGCCACCATGGCAGTTACCGATTCGAACTTGATATCACGCTTGAACGCCCGCACTGGCGCGTAGGAACTTCCCATGAGGATCCGTGACTCGGGCGGGCGCGGGAGCATGTTGACGACGGCAGCGGAGACGACGACGATGATAGTGATCGTGGTGATGGTGTTGGCGATGATGACGACGGTGACGACAGCGGTGATGACGGTGGCGATGGTATGGACAACGATGACGACGGTGACGACGTCACTGATTACAGTGCTGAAGGTGATGGTAATAATGGTGATACTGTCGGCGATGACGACGATTATGGTGGTGATACGATGGTACTGGTGAGGATGATGAGGAAGTGCGCGCACACAAATCCAGAAACGCGTGCAGGATTTCTATCGTCACACCTTTTGGGTTTTCGCATATGTTCGAGGAGCTTGGTCTTGAGCTGCTTCGAAAGTCATTGGTTTTTGTCGACGACGACGACGACGACGACGACGACGACGGCGCCCGCACGTGGCCCACACGGTATCATTTGGTAGGGATTCGGGCACCAGGCGCTTGCTAGATCAACGCGAGTGCACCTCGCGGTGAGATGATATTGTGGGCTCCGGGCGAGATTGTGGAAATCGCACAGGTTTCCCATGATTCCAGCATGTGCGCGCGGGCAGAATATTTGCAGCATGTCTTGAAAAGCCAACAAGTTTTGCATGGTTTTCGCTTGGAATGCTTGCGCAGCTAATGTGTTTTGTATGATTTGACATGTTCGTGCGCGTTTGGCCCGCATTCTATTATTTGATACGGATCGTGAAAACATGATCCTTGGAGATGAGCGTTTGTGCGCGCACGGTATTGTCTGACAGGGATGAAGAGAAGAGTGGATGGGGGAGGGGTCGATACCAGGACTGCCAGTGATGATGTTATTCTTTGTTTGAAGTGAACGATAGTGCAGAACATATTTACACACACATATATATATATAAGCAGTGCCAGCACGTGTTTCTTCTGAAGTTTGATAGAACGGTGCGATCCCTTCTTTGTTCTGTAGCTGTGTGGGCTCAGCAGCAACTTTATGTCTTCTTGGTGGCCTGCTCTCACCACAGCAGGCTCCTGTCAGAGAGAAGCCCTCGAGGCCTCATTCTATTGTTTCGGCTGGACCGCGAGCCTGAACGGAGCGTACACCTCAGAGGGCATCTTAGTGGCTGTTATCCTCGCTCTCGGTGCGGCGTTGCTCTTCATATCAGGGTGCTGCTGCGGAGTGGTGTCCTCCGCTTTCTTCCAGATCATCTGGCTTCAGTTGCCTGGTTTCTTCGAGAAGAGGACGGCTCGGCGTGCTGCTCACGAGGCGGCACCAGCGCTGTCATCGGCCCCAGCTCAACCTGTGCGTGTGCCGCATCAGGTTCTGAAGCCAGTCAAGCACCATGGAGCGGGGCACGAAAGTGTTCGTGAAGTACGTGGGTCATCCTATATGGCACGAAAGACATTTACTGGAGAAGGTGGGAAATTCGGCGACTGACTGGATCATCGCCACCCCCGACAGCGATGTGTATATGGAGGACTTCAGCCGACACAACGAGGACATCGAGGGCTTCCGCCTATCCGACCGTCGTGGCGGGGGTCCCCACGGCATCGACCCGCAGGATGTCTACCGGTTCCGCCAGGAGCCAGAGGGAACCCATCTGCAGGGCCTTCGTGATGAGGCCAGGCTGTTGGCGCGCTCTGAGGCTGCTCGCGGTGGAGGTGCTCCCGCAGGCAATGCCGACCTATGGTATGCTATCGAGGAGGCGCCAGGCATTCAGACGGGCAGCGTCGTTCGCCTCAATGAGGAGGCAGTCATCAGCGGCGACAGGGCGATCCACTTCTATGTCCATGACGGCGTGGAAAAGAGGGTTTTCTGCGTCAGATGCCCAGCTGCTGATCTGGCCGATGTGAAGAAGAAGTTCCGCATCGAGACGGACGACGACTGCGACGCGCGGACCCTGCCCATCAAGAGCGTGGCGGGCCAGCGCAAGCGGGACTTCAGCGACGCGGTCGAGAAGATGGAGCTCGTGAGTTTCTCGGACTGGGAGACGCACATCCCAGGCCCGAGGACGACGCGCTGGTGCCTGGACTTCTTACGAAGGAGGAACGGGCCCCTGGCACACCACGAGTGGTGGAAGTCCACGGCCAAGCTGAACAGTGACGACTACGGCGTCTCGTTCCACGAGGCGGTGCTGCGTGCCGTGCAAACAGGCGCGGAGTACGATCAGCTGGACCTGGTCAACTTGGCACCGATGGAGCACTTGCTGCGCTCGGCCCAGCTGATCGAGTATTATCATCGAGAACGTACCCGACAGGAGGGTGCGGCCAGCTCCAAGACGGGAGTGGACATGGAGGAGCAGACGGTCATGCTGGGAGTCCACCAGAGCCAGGGCAACCTGATGATCGCCCCCGATCTGATCACGTACACGTCGAAGGAGCTGGAGCGGCAGAGTGCTATTGACAAGCAATCCCGCAAGGCGCGTGAGGAGCGCGCCTTGCGGCGGCGAGGATGATGATGAGCGTTGGCCAGGCTTTCCCTCGCGCCTGGCCGGCTTCACGGGAGGGGGGCCGCGTCATTTCAGCCAGTGACGCGGCAGCGAAGGAGGCTGACTCTGCTCTTGGGCCTTCGCAGCTTCGAGGGTGCCGAGCTGTCCAGCGACGCTTCAGGAGAAGGGGGCACGTCGGTGAGAAGGTTGCTGCCCTGGGTCGCGCACTCGCGGAGCTCGAGCGAGGTGATGGCCTTCCTGAGCCGGCTGAGGGCCAGGCCTCGCTTCTTTCGCCTGCTGAGCATACTTTTTTAACCTCTCGGGTGCGGCGCATGGGCCGTCCACCAGAGGGGCTCGACCCTCGGGGAGCCTTCACTGAGCTCCAGGGGGTCGAAGACTACGCTGGGATTCCGTGCCACCTGGCTCCTCTAGATGTGGACAAGCTGTCTCTCCCACAGCCTGGTTTCCAGCCGCGGCCCCTGGGCGACCTTTTGGGGGCCCGCGGCGCTGAGCTCATCAAGAGGATTTCATGTGATATAGTTTTGCCTAAGGAGCTGCAGCAAAGAAATCGTGAGGAAGCTGGTCTAGTCAGGCCGTACAGCGACCCACGTCTGCGTTCTAAAAGGGTGTACAAGTCTCTCGTGGCTCGCCTTCAGGCCGCGGGGCTCGTCGAGTTCAGTTTAACGGATGGAGTCCGAACGGGGATCTTTGCGGTTTGGAAGTCGGACGGGGTGAAGCAACGCCTCATCCTGGACGCTCGGATTTCCAATTGTAGTTTTGAGGTACCCGAGTCGCCCGACCTCCCCACGGCTAACGCTTTCTCGAGGTTGAGGCTCCAGGGGGAAGGTCTGTTGCACACGTTTTCCTCGGATTTGAAGGATGCTTTTTATACTATGGAACTCCTCGACCCCCTTCGGAGGTATTTCACCATGGAGCCCCTCAGTGCCAAGGACTTGCAGATCTCGGAGGTGTCTGGGGTCCCAGTGGATCCTACTACTCGTGTTTACCCGCGGTTCAGGGCTGTACCTATGGGGTAGTCGCACGCTGTCAATGTCTGTCAGTACGTCGTCACTTCGTTGATCCAGGAGGCGATCCCAGATATGCACCACTTCCTGATCACGGATCGGGAGGTCATTCCGAAGTTGGAGGAGGGGGCGGTTATACTTTACGTGGACAACATCATTACCATAAGTACCAAGGCGGAAAAGGGGAGGTCCATCCAAACAAAAATCAACAACATCATGGAGGAGAGGGGTCTCATCGTTCATGATAAGAGGTTTGATCCAGAGGTTCTCGAGGCCTTTGGTTGGGAATTCCGTCGAGATGATAGGTGTATTGTGCCGAAGGGGCGCCGCGTATGGCGTCTATGGCTTGCACTTTTTCACGCACTGGAGCGCCGCCAGGGGACTGGACGTCAGCTTTCTCGGCTCGCCGGGCACTTTGTCTCCATGGCGCTGGTGAAAAGAGAAGCCCTTTGCTGCCTCAACGCGGTCTACGCTTTCGTGGCTAAGCACCCCGAGGACTCTGCTCCGTTCTGGCCGTCGGTCGTTAGGGAGCTCCGCTGGATCCAGTCTTTGTTACCCCTCCTCGTCCATGATCTGGTCAAGCCTTTCAGCCCCAGGGCCCTGGCATGTGACGCCTCGATGTGGGGAAAAGGGGTCGCTCACAAGTCCCTCTCCGTGGGGGCGATTCGGGCCTCTCGCAGTACTCGGAGCGCTGGTGTTATCACGGGGCCTCGGGATCTGCCAGGACGGGGGCGCTGGAGGAGGCTCTCGGCGGGGCGCTGCCTTCAGGTGAGTTCTTGGAGCTGAGCTTCGCGGACGAGGGGCTCGTGCCCAACCTACCGATCTCTGGGGAAGGCGAAAGTCGTGGGCTCTTGGGAGGCTCTTGGAGGATCCTACATCGTAAGAAATGGGAGCGCCGAGAACACATCACCGCCCTGGAGTGCCGCACATTGGTTTGGTGTATTCGGCATCTGACAAAATCCGTCTCGAACAGGTCTCACAGATTCTTGATCATCAGTGACAGCATGGTCTCTATTTTAGCTCTGCTCAAGGGCCGTACCTCGGCTCCAGGCCTCGTGCGACCTGTCCGGCAATTCTGTGCAGTGGCCCTCAGAGCTGATGTTACGGCGGATCTCAGGTGGGTCGTCTCCGAGCTCAACCCAGGCGATCCTCCCTCGAGGAACAGGTCGGAGCTCGAGCCCTGGTCCAACACCCTCGACGCCCTCGCCGCCGCGCGGCAGCGTTCGCGAGATGGCAAGGACCCACATGCTCGAGAGCCCGACCCTGGTGCGAGACCCTCCCACCTCCGCCGCGCGGCGCCGCCGCCCAGCGCGGAAGCGCCCGGCCGCTGCACAGCCCAGCAGGACGGCCATCGAGACCAGCAAGTCGCACCCCGACGCGGAGGAGCGCAAGAAGGCCAGGCGCTCCCTGCATGCCCTCGAGAGGAGGAGTCTCCAGGCCGCGAGCCGGTCCTTCCTCGAGCAGGGGAGTGTCTCCCGGACAGTGCAGCAGCAGTACAAGGCAGCGCTCGACCGCTTCGTGAAGGATCAGAGTATCAGGGACCTCTACGCGCTGGCCCGCACGCCCAAGGCGCTGGACCAGAAGCTGAAGTTCCACCTCGACGAGCTCTACTTCGAGGGGGAGCTGAGTGGCGCAGCGAACACTCTAGTGGCGGCTATCCGGTGGAAGTTCCCACAGTTTGGTCGCCAGGGGGGCCAGTCCTTGCCCGAGACTGCCCGAGCGCTGATGGGCTTCAGCAAGCTCTCTCCGGCGGCCTCTCGGCTGCCGATCCCAGCGACGGTGGTCTTCGGCCTGGCAATGGTGCTGTGCTCGCTGGGCTTCACCCTCGCCGCCTTCGGGAGCCTCCTGGCCTTCCACCTCTACCTCAGGCCGTCGGAGTTGATGCGCATGAAGTGGAGGCATTGGTCCCCGCCGTGTGGGGCAGGCCGAGGAGGGACCGACGGGCGGTGCCTGACGTTGCACCCTCGAGAGGACGGCGTCCAGTCCAAGGCAGAGGAGTTCGACGAGAACATATCGATCGACGCAGACGGCCATCTCAGTTTCCTCAATCAGGTGATGTCGGTAATGCATGCCAAGGCGAAGCGGGAGGACCGCCTCGACGAGCTGGTAGTGGGCGACCTCGGCGGCCGCTCGTTCCTCATGGTCTTCAAGATGGCGGGCGAGCGGCTTGGTCTTCCCAAGCCGCCAGTGGCGCGCCAGCTCCGCCACGCAGGTCCGAGCTACGACCTGGCCCAGCGGATCCGCCGCCTGGCCGAGGTCAAGGCTCGCGGCCGCTGGTCGGCGGACTCTTCCGTCAGGCGCTACGGCAAGCAGAACCGCATCAACGAGCAGATCGCCGCGCTGCCTGTCGCGGTGCGGGCCTTCTGCGACGACGCCTGGAAGAAAATCGGAGATGTCCTCTTGAAGCGTTCGAATCCCTTAGAGCTGCCGTGAGTGCTGGACAACGTCGTCTACCTCGAGTGGCAGTGGAGTTCTTCTCAGGCTCAGGCAAGTGGTCTTCAGCAATGCGCAAGAGAGGATACGTGACGATTGAAGTCGATGTGATTCATGGGCCCCAAAGTGACGCCACGAATCCACATCTCGTCAAGTTGTTTTTTCCAACTCCTCAACTCAGGGGTGATCTGGGCCGTGCATCCTGGTACGCCTTGTTGTACTTTTTCTCGTGCCCGGGGCCGTGGTGACGGCCCAGGTGCTCTGCGCAGCTCAGACCGCCCCCGAGGGCTTGACGGCCTTCTATCGGCAGCCGACAGTGACAAAGTGAAGGTTGGCAACCATCTTGCCGACTTCTCAGCTCGTGCGTTTGAGCGTTGTCGCCTCCGACGTGTCCCATGCTCGTTGGAGAATCCGCACACTTCTATTTTGTGGTACCTTCCGCAATTTGCGAAGCTGATCGCACGTGAGGATGTGCGCTCAGATTACACAGACTTTTGCATGGACGGTAAATCTTGGAGGAAGAGAACACGTTTGATGACCACACATATTGATTTATCCCGTGTGGCCCGCCAGTGCACGTCAGTTAACGGGATATGCTGCCGCACTCACCGAGCCCATCAAACCCTGGAAGGCAAGAATGAGAGGGGGATTTTTTGGACCAAAATCGCGGAGCCCTATCCCTGGAGGTTGCGTTCCCGAATGTCAGCAGCTGTTGATGCCAGCAATGCCTCGTTGTTTACCAAGAATATGTCTAAGTTGCTGGTATGACCCTCCCACCCTACCCAGAGTACCAGATTGTATTATGCTCTTGAGTATTGCATACGGCTCGCCTGTCTGTTCGATTTCCTGCTGGGCGAGCGCCCAGAAATACGACCAGGCGCAAAACGTTCTGATTCGAGCGATCGTGGTTAAAACAGTACAGAGACAGGCATCCCTCTACGTCGTCTTCTGAGGCTGTCGCCACTCCGCGGCATTCAGGGGGTCGGGGGAGTTCCCAAACCTAGGAGAAGATAAGCAGTGCCAGCACGTGTTTCTTCTGAAGTTTGATAGAACGGTGCGATCCCTTCTTTGTTATGTAGCTGTGTGGCCCGCCCGCCACTCCCTTTATATAGCAGAGCGCTCTTGAGTATTGCATGCGGCTCGCCTGTCTGTTCGATTTCCTGCTGGGCGAGCGCCCAGAAATACGACCAGGTGCAAAACGTTCTGATTCGAGCGATCGTGGTTAAAACAGTACAGAGACAGGCATCCCTCTACGTCGTCTTCTGAGGCTGTCGCCACTCCGCGGTATTCAGGGGGTCGGGGGAGTTCCCAAACCTAGGAGAATATATATATATATATATATATATATATACACGGCAAAATATACCCGAGGTGGGGTGGGGGTGGGGGCGGGGGTCAAGTCCGGTTTGGGCACGGGGGTACAGCCTAATCTCTTCCAGGAGAAGGCATTGATTATGACGAACTTGCAGTCGTCAATTCCAATGCTTGCGCGAGCATCCCGACCATCCACCCGCAACTTGCTTGGCATTCTGGCCACGCCTGCAGCTATCGATCGGAGCTTGCTAGCGCGTCTCAACGGTCGCACTGGTACGCTCGCGCGTCCATGCGGATTGGGCAACATGTTCGGCAAAGCTAGTTGAGGGGAACTCGCTAGCACATCTCACCAGCCGCGCTGGCGCGTCGACACTTCCATGCGGTTCGGTGATTCGGACGGGCGCGATATCGCGATGAAGTCAATTGCGGCGACGACCACGATGATGATGATGATGCTGATGATGATGATGATGATGATGATGCTGGCGATGGCGGTGGCGATGATGACGACGGCGGCGGCAAAACCGCTGACGATGCCGATGCTGGTGACGACGATGGCGATGACAATGTTCATGATGTTGGTAATGAACGGGATTGTGAAGACGGTGATGCTGGCAATGGCGGTGACGACGATGACGATGGCGATGACGGTGGTGATGTGAAGGCGCTGCTGAAAATGATGAGGACGAAGAGGAGGTGCGCGCGCGCAGACGGCAATTGGTTTCCAGAGGTTCATGAAGAGGTGTATTTTGAAATGCTTCGGCACTGATTGGTTTTGGAAGGATTTCGACATGCGCGCGCGGCGGCGCCCGCATGTGGCCCGCATGGTGTTATTTGATGCGGAATCGTGCGCAGGGAACTTGCTAGATCAACGCGAGTGCGCCGCGTGGTGAGATGATATTGTAGGTTCTGGACGTGATTGTTGAGATCGTGCAGGTTTTGAATGGTTTCAGCGTGTCCGCGCGGGCAGAATACCTGCAATACTTCGATTGAAAAGCAAACGTGTCTTTCGGTCTTGAATGCTTTTCGCTTGAAACGCTTGCAGGACTCATGTG